TTCACATTAGTGTTCACTCCTTAGCATAAAAGTGTATCTCTATAGCTCATGCCCAAATCTATGCCCAACCATTTTTTTTATATCTGAATTTAATTCTGTCTTAATTCTATCACCAATTCCTTGTTTTCATACTTATATCTTGTGCTTTTAAAAATATAAAAGAAAAAGCTTTCAAAATCAAGAAATTTTGGGGGTGTTTGAGTCAACACAAACCTTGTAAAATGGCAGTGGAGTTTTTTAAAAAACAACAATATTTGATTTCCCAGTGTTATCATGCTAAGTGAACAGTTAAAACAGGCATCCCATTAAAAAAAAAAAAAGGCTGTTTTGACAATCCTATCAAAGTTTTTCTAGTCCTACACAAGCTGGACAGAGATCCTAAATTAAATATGACATTGGACTGGTTTTGCATAACACAGTAGGGTTTATACATTGAATTACTCTGTTAGCACACCAGTTCTTTTTTCTTTTCTTTGATGATTTTCATACTGAATTTTTTATTTGCCAGCTCTCCTCTCTATAAATATCAAGAGGGAATATGTATGCTTTTTTAAAACTACTTACAATGCAGAGCAGCAGATCCATGACTGCTTTCAAGCTTTTCATGTCTTACAAGAGCATCTGAAACTCAAATGAAGTTATTGTAGTTTTGTGTCAATCCCAGTTCACAATTTAGAATTATTTGTATGGAACAAAAATCTTCACCATCTTCAGCAAAGGAGTCCAAATTAGTTTTTCTTTTCAGTAGGCAGTTGAATACACCCAGAAAGACTGTAAAATTACTACAGCAAAGCACTTAATCTTTCCTTTAATTGCAATATATAAGAGATTTAATAAAAATTTTATATCAACATTTACAGGATCATCCCGAACACCAGGTTCATCACTGTAAAATCACATAGCACTTGTTCAACTTGTCACACACAGAAAATTAATTAAACATTTTCAGGTGTATATTTTCTCAACATTTAAGAAACAACTGCATGTATGCATCTCAGTGTGTTGTCCACCCAGAGGTTCAGATGAGTACAGTTCAAAAAGGTAGCTGGGAGTTGATAATCACATCTTCACCTGTGGGATCTCACTATTGTTCAGTAACAATCTATTCTGGTGCCATTACATTTAAAGCAAATCCCCCATCGTTCAGGAACAAGAAAGAATTTCCCAAAGCTCTTTACTGTCCTCACTGTGCAGTGATGATCAGATCACAGCTTGTCCAATACCATTCTCAAATTCATGGGGGAACCAGCTGGTTTTATAGCCTAGCAAAGTGAATTGGTGTGATTTTTTTTTTTCTTCCAGGCCAAATGAACTGTTAAGAAAGTTTTCCTTCACACAAAAAGAAGAAATGAAGCGGTATAAAAAAAAAAGTTAAAGATATTTTTCTAATATAAATGTGTAGAGAGGCAAGGAAGGAAAAGGAGCATTGTCATTCTGGCAGAGGGTACACATATTACATGAGCAAAAATATTGACTTTAAGGTGAAACTCTCAGTAAAACTGGTAGGAGACAGATCATTAGGGTACATTAAGCTGACTGGAAGGATAAGCAAACTGGAAAAGACAGTGTTAATTCAGTATTGGCTTGTCTGCAAGCCTATTCATTACTTCTTACTTGGCAAGAACCACAAGGTGCTAATCTAGGTTAGCAAGAGAAAACAAAAAGACACATTTTCCATAATGAAGTTATATTAACCAACAGTTTGTAGTATATTGCAAGGCACAGGAGTGTCATTTTCTGTAAGTACAGGTAATTTTCTCTGTATGATCAACTGAAAATCTGTTCCAGTAAGAAAACACAAAATTTAGTCTATCTAAAAATCCTTTGTGAGGAACAAAAAAGTACCAGAATCCTAGAGAAACAAGCACTAGAGGAATGTCAGATGAAATGTAATCATTTAAATGGGTAAGAATACTTAATCAATGTATATTCAGGAATATTGAAACTGCTGCCACATAATCATAGGGACTTTTAGTAAATCTATCAAACATGAGCTCCTGTGAAAAAGTACAAAGTAGTGAACAATTTACTTGTCTTTCAAAAACAGAAGAAATGGATCTCAGCAGCAGCAAGGCTTTAGAACGTGTTTTTGATCAAAGACTAACTGCCAATATGGAGATAAACTGAGAGCTATGAAAAAGGAGTTTGGCAGAAGTTGGTTGGTCAGACTAACCTGGTAACTGATTTTTTTAGACCAAACAAGTGATATGTGCTTAATTAATCTATACTTTCCATTTTACAAAATGCCAGTTATAATTGTAACACCTCCATGTTAGCCTGGAAAAGACAGTGCTTAGCATGAAATGTAGAGATGAATGGCTAGAAAACAGCTAAGCAATTCTACTAGAAGAATCTGGACTGAAAGATTAATGTTATTGGAGAGCCTTTCAATAAGTCTTCTGTCTTATTTCATGCATCACTTAAGCACATAAACCAAGGGTAGAAGTCGGGTCCATTTTCAGAGCTCTTCAGGAATCTATGGTGTAGCTGTCTCCTGAGCAGTGGAAAGGTGATCAGTGCAGTCATGTCATACCCAACATGAAAGCTGAAACAGCTCACAGGTTTGTGCACCAGTCACTGGAGATACTGTGATATTATTATATTGCTGCAAAGTCGCTGACCTAGTGACAAAGGCCACGAACAAGCTCAGTTACCAGTGTCTTCTTTGCCTATGTCTTTACTGGTAAGATTTGTGTGCTGTTTGCTTGCAGACGTTTGCAGTAACAGGAAGCTAGACTTGATGACCCAGGGATCCTTTCCAGTGTTTTGCTTCCTTAGTGGGATTGAAAAGAACGTATTTTTTTAAAGCAGTTTTCGTAACCTGCTGGCGGACAATGGACTCCACAGAATTCCAAGTCTTAGGGAAGGAGCACTGTAGCCCAGTCAGTAGATCCAAAGGCTTCCAAACTGTGTTAGAGCTCATAGAAAAGTATGCCCCTACACAGTATTTTTTAGCTTAAACTTTTCCATGGTCAAGCTGGTTTATCTATTCCACTCTAAATGGGGTAGAAAACCAGCATCTTTTAAAAAAATAAATAATGCCCCTTATTTTAGAGTGTGTTGCCAGCACTAGTTTGGCTCAGCTTTGTCAATGTATCTGAGGGACGTTTTCATCTCAGTTTGCCAGAGCAAGTATTCTTCAGTACCTGACATTCTTATATTTTCTTATTGTATTCCCAACTGTGCATATTCACTTGTACACAATAAAGGCAGTACTTTGGTTGTGACAGACTGCTGGAGACAGTGCCTTTGAGTGTTAAACCTGGGTTACAAATGGTGATCACACTGTGTCTATCTACAAAACCATCTCCCTAGTGCTCAGCCCCATCCTTGTAGGCACAGCAAACCAGGTAAACTACTGCTTTCGGAATCTGAAATTCCTTTGCCTCTCACAACTTTTAAATGATTTGCATTAAACTAACATACTGTACACATCTGGAATTCATTTGCTCTGTAGTGTTGAGACACATCAAATAAATGCAAAAAGTCAGTATAACAAGCTGCTTGGTTCTGTTTGGGTTTGTCTTCTCAATATATGAGAAAGAAGTTGGTAGGGAAAGGTAATTCTTTTATTTTACCAATTGAAATATTTGTGATTCAGTCTCACTTTCACCAATATAGATTGTTGAAATAATGCACTATGCTGCTGTTTACAGAGGATTTTTTATTGCACAATAGTAGTATAGAGCCAATGCATGTCTTTCTGTATCTGTCTTTGCAATAATACCTGACTGAAACAAATCAGGCTTTAATCCCACACTACACGAGGCACATGCCAAATTCCAGTTTATGGGGTGTCCACTGATGGCTCTGAGGGGAGATCTATAAGTGAGAGCTGCTGAAGTACCATATTTCAGCCATCTGTAATTCTCCCATGCTGAGGGAACAAGGCACGAGTGGAGACACTTACGAGCAGTTTGCTGAAATAAAATTTGCCATCCCTTTTTTCTGTTGGGGTCAGCAACCAGTTGACACTGACCAAAAGCTTTTGTGTCACAATGTATAGACCAGAGTGCAATCCATAGGAAAGACCATTCCTGTCAATCACTGCTTTAGGTGATGAGCCTAAACCATCTCTGAGCATGCAGCCAGCAATAGTCACAACAGAAAACAGGCAACTTCTTAGTCCTCTAAATACTTACAGTTTCACTTTATAATATTTGAAATTATTATTATTATTATTAAAAATAATATTATTATTATCCCAAAACACTGTGTTCTTTCAAGTGAAGCTAAAGACACTTTTATAAGAAACCGACTTTTAAAAGACTCTATATTCCTCAACTGATATATTAAAGGACATAATATATGTCTAAAGACAGGTTAGGCAGGCATATGGAAATGCACCCTTATTGATTCACAAAGCTGTTGAGACTTTAATTCAGTAGCATTAAGGAGTTCAAGTTAATGATGTGAGCTTTTAATTTAAACTCTGAGACTGAGAGGTTTATAATTATAATTTTCATCAAAACTCTTTATTGAGGGAACTACCTGGAAGTGGAATACTTAAAAGCTTCTTTACATAAAAAGACATATATATATATATCTGTGTTTGGAACTTAAATGGCCTGTAATGATTTTCATGTTGTGTGAGTTGAACTGGTGTATCTCTGTCTCCCATTTCAATTTATTCTTTGTAGGATTTAATGAACTGCAAGGAAAAGACAAATTAAAGACCAGAGGTGGATGAGCAGCAGTCCATTATACAGTCAGTTTTAGGAAAAAGACACATTTTTAACCTCTATTTTGGACAGTCTTTTCCATACTGAACTTCTTTGAATGTATTCTAGTTTGGTTTAGTGTATTCTACTGAACATAACCACCCTCCAAGAGACACCTACATTTTCAATTCTCCTCCATGTCTGTGGCCCATTTGTTTCCACCAGCTCCAACCAGGATGCCATTAGTTATGTGCAATAAACACAAGGTGGGAGGGCTTGGTGCAAATTCTCAAGATAAGACCAAAATGCTTTGCTCAATGGGATTTCTCTTTAAACCAGGTCCTGATTACAAAGAGCTGGATGTTCACCTTCGGAGAATGGAGTCTGGGTTTGGCTTCAGGATCCTGGGAGGAGATGAGCCTGGGCAGCCTGTGAGTTATTTCTTCCTGATTTTCCTTTTCCTTCCCCATTCTATAATCTGTGTAAAGGTCAGAAAAATATAACATAACTGAACAAAAATGAACACCTTGTTAAGGCTACCAGTAAAATTACTTTTATTCATCCATAGAAAAAGACAGAACTCTTAGGCTGTTCACATCTAAAAGGTGTCACAGAGAATTAGGTTTTAAAGAAAGCATTTAGGTGGAAACAGAGCATCACTCATCCCATTACGATGGGGTGTGACCTGGCATCTCTTAATCTGGACTTTCCAAAATCAAGTTTAAGCAGAAGATTCCAAAAATCCAGTTATGTAAGACTACCCATAACCATGCTCAGAGTAGACAACTTTTATACAAAATGTATACTTGTGGTTAAAAGACACAGTCAACAATGCAGTTTATTTCCAGAAAAAGAAGACCTTACCGGGGAGTCATAGTCAATGTTCCAGGTTAAATGACAACATCGTGTGAGGCAACAGGCATAAAAATGATAGCTTTATACCATTAGGAGGGAGGCACCCCTGTAACCACATAACAGGTAACAAAATGAACATAGATGGTTTGCTAATAAAATATATAAAATAAATCTTATGCACAATATTTAAAAGAAACAGTGTAGAAGCCCAGAAAATAAAATTCAAAAGTACATGACGTACCACAAATGTGTAAATATTTTTTATAAATTACTGATCTATCTAAATACTATAATTTTGAGAGCAGGCAGAATTAGTACTCTTTCAGAAAAAACTCAGTGGTGTAACTACAGTCTGACAGCTAGGACTAATCTCAAGTCAATAATGATAGTTCTTTACTATCACAATTTTAAGCACTCTGAGTCTTGTGTTACCACATTTCTGAGATAATGTATAATTAATTATTAGATTTGGATATTCCCTAGTCAATAATTTTTGTATTCCACGTTCAAATTAATACAGAATAGTATCTTTTTCATTCAAGCCTTAAGGTTAACCAGCACATGGCTTTGAAAAACAAAGAAGCTTTTATATTTTAAAATTGTCAACATCTGTCAAAGCATTGATAAATCTTAACAGTTTACTCATGTCTCCCATAAAAAGAAAAGAATGCAGTGCATTATAAAAAAGATGCTTCAAGTGCTGTTTGAAATTCAGTCTAGTTTTGCTTGTTTTCAATGGATTTTCAAATATAAAGTATAGCAGCTCAGAAGGACTCCAAGACAGCACTTCCAGACTGCTTCATCCTCTACACTTGCAGTGTGCCTGAAGCCCCTCTGATGTGAAATTTCCTTCTGTGGAGCATGTCCCAGTGCACATAAAATGAGGCCACTGAGCCATCATCTGCACATTCTCCAGCTGAGCATTTTTCCTGTCCCTTCTGGATGGGCCAGCCAGTATAAGTTCTCAAAGCACACATACTGGATGAAGCCAAAAAGGAAATCTCTGAGGTGCTAGTGGAAATGTTCCATTTTATCTTTTTAGACTGTTAGGAAATAGCTCTAGAAAGGCACTACCTTTAAACCAGGCTGGGTGGAGCTTTGATGGTGTTGTGGAAGGTGTCCCTGCCCATGGCATGGCAGAGAGATTGGGGTTAGAGGATTGTTAATGTCCTTTCCAACCCAAACCATTCTATCATCTAGGAAGATTTGGAAATCTCCTTCCACCTGCTCTGGGCAGTAGTGTCTAATGGCATTTCCTATCTCACAGGGAAGTGTCCCTGGCTACAGAGCTGCTCAATATTTTGTGAGAGGCTCTCTTGGTGTCTCCTTTAGTGTTTTTTTCATTACAAATGGATAATTAAGCAGTCATGGACTAGGCCTCTGACTGGATCTGCTTGTTGGAGGTTTATGACAATCTCATGGGAAAAAGTGCAGCTTAAATGCCTTATCTAAAAGATGATTATTTATATAAAACTGAATTATTTCAACCCATAGGACTAAGAGAAAACTCATGTAGAATATCTGATATTCTGGTACTTCATATCCATAATGCATACCAGAGTTGTGAGAGACTTGAGTCTCAGTCTGCTCAGCAGTCCAGTAGAAAAGAAATTTTGAAGCAAGCTTTTTGCCCTGCAGCTACATGCATTATGCACTGCAGTATGACAGAGGATCAGCTCTTCCTAGTGTCTCTTCAGCAAAGGACTGACCTGACTTTACTGTCTGAAGTCAAAGAGCCATAGCTGGAAATCAAGGGCAGAGATAAGCACCTTGCTATTTTTGGAGAGCAGGACCAAAAACGCTGCCCTCTGTGAAACACCCTCTAAGACATTTCACTATCTCATTGAACAATTGCTCTCAGCCTGCCCTTAGCCTCAAGATTGCTATCTCTATTCCATGGTTTGCACATACAAAAGCATTTTTTCCCCAAGACTTATCAATCCAATGGGCTTTATGTGTCTTTGCAAACATTTCTCAAAGTCCCCAGGAGTTAAGAAGAGCCTAACTTGAAGCTGAGGATTGTACAAGGCAAAAAGGCACCTTCTTAGAATTAAGTGTTGCAGTGCTGAGGTTTTCAATTCTCAGTCCCTTGTGGTTGTCCATCTTGTTTTCACTGCTCAAATTTAACACCAATAAACACAACAGATGTACTCTTTTTAGTGTCCCTCTATTTCGTATTCAAAGTACAAGGCTTCTTACCTCCGTTCTCTCTCCTGCACTGCTTCCCTGCCCCCCATGGACAGCCCACCTGCAGCCTCCCATTCCTTTCACCTCCAGAAAAGCAGAAGCAGTTTTTGCCTGTTCTCCAAACCCCTGCCTTTCCTATGAAACAAGAACTGAGAAGCTTTGAATTTTTTATTTCAGCTCTCCTGCTGTGCCGTCAGGTAACACAGAACAAAAGGAAGCTTTTGTCTTTGTGGTTTGATTTCTAAAAAGGAATATGGATTCTTCAGCATAAGGCAATAACTTTTTCAAAGAAGAAGAATCCAAATAAAGTTACTTTAGAAGGATAATACTGACACTATAGAGGGACTGTAGCTTAGTTTCCTTCTGGTTATATCAGCTACCTGGCACCTTAGAAGGGGAAAATGCTACTGTACTACCACACTTTCCATATTCGTAAGCATAAAAATGCTTTTGAAAGAAAATACTTAAATTTATTGAGAAATTTCAAATATCAGGACTGTGAGTTGTGCAAGTTCAAATCACCTCTCAAGCCTTATAATATTGCACTACAACAGCTATTTATCACATTTCCCAGTAACTTGAGGATTTGGAGATAATCTGACTCTGTTATGGTGAATTATAATATTACTGAAAGGTTACAAAAACCCGTAAATTGGAACTTCACTGAAGTTGCAAATTGCTGTCCCAAGGGGAGATGTATTTTGCATACATTCATGCAGCTCAAACTTAGAATCACAGGAACATATACATAACTTCCCCTAGAGTTTTACCTTTTCAACATGGATGGGCTGTGATTTTTCTCAAAAATATCAAGATATTTGTTTGTGTTCTTTTTATTATCAGTGCCAAGATATATTCTAAGTATCTTTCTACATTTCTAAGACATAGATGTCCATAGAGCAAAATGTTAGGATAAGGCCATGCCTTGGGAAGTCCTATTTTAACAGTGATTAGACAGAATCCAGGTAATTAGCTTGGATTTAGACATCACTGGCACTTAAAATTAGGTGAATTACCCTTTATGTGTATATACTTAAATTTTGCTATATGCCTGTGAAACTTCTGTGTTATATTCAGAGAAACTAAAATACAAATTCAGATAATTGCCAAAAAATCACAAAGAAATTCAGTATCAAAGCAGATTAACCGTATAAATTAATAGACACAGGCTTTAATTTCAGATTAGGCTCTGCCACAATCATCCTAATCCCAGAATTTGTCCTGTTTAATCTTAAACAATGGGAGAAATTTTCTGTTTCTCTGCAACACATTCTTTATTTCTTACATGCCATCATCCTTCTCCTCACGCATTCAAAGCAATCTCATGCCTGTATGAAACTGCATTTCAGAGCTAATATAGTCCTGATATATATTTTTCCAATTTGTGCTTTACGTATAGAATTGATAACTATTATGGCAACTTCTCAGCCGTGAAACAAGAGCAGATACTGCACAAGAAACAAATTCAGACACAGAAAATGAAAAAGTATGAAAATTAAGTTATTCTTGCTATTACATATACCAAATAATGGATACGGTAGCCATCATCCTGACAAACATACCTAGCTGAAGTGTTTAAAGTATGAAATTTAAAGTATGAAGCATCTGCTGTTTATGTTAGGAATCCAACAATGAGATGAGTAACACAATCACATTACATGGTGGGCATGTGAAATATCAGCAATAATTACTTAGTCAGATCTAGAAAGAGTTATTCTAGTTTCCTGTATACTGATGACCTACCATGCTATGATTTGCATTTTGTTTTTACAAAGGTTAAAGATGCTCAAATTGTTTAATATTTTGTCAGAAAATTATGAAAAAACTGCAAATGTTCAACAAAACCAAAGGAGGAAGCCAATCCCTACAAGAGGGATTATCACCCATCTTTTCTCAAAATAACTAGGAAGAAATTCTTACTCATGTGAGATGTCGAATTCTCAAATGTTTTGAGAATACTTTGTGGATATCTAACTAAAAGTAGCCTTAGAGAGCTTTTCTTCTGTCTGGTAAAGGAGCATAAATTCATATTTCATGCTTGAATTTTGCACAAAGTATTTTCCAAAGCTTTGAGGTATACTTTTTCACCATTTGAAGAACAGAATGGAGAACCTGAAACAGCCTCTCTAGCCACTCAGCTTGGCACTGCTTAACAGGATCCCAGCAACACCAGAAAGCAGGAAAGAGCTGCATCCTGTTCTCTCTTTACTAAGTTGTGAAAGTAAAAATAAGCCAAAGGGAGCTGAAAAACTGGGGAAATTTCTCTATGGGAAATCTCCATAGGGGATTTCATTTAAACACTATGCTGAGATACTTGCAACTCTGCAGCTAAGACCACAAAAAACCACAGGCCCACCTGTGTGATTACCACATCTAGCCTTTGCAATTCATCATGAAAAGCAATGCTTTGTAGCTTTTATCTTTTATTATTAAAAGCAGATTGTCACATGGCATGTCATATCCATCATTTTGTGCTCACTCTCAGACTGAAAAAGAGAACAGAAAATTTGAAACATACTCTGTGAATGCTTTAATATTCTTTCAAAGAAAGCAGGTTTTGTTTTAATCAATCTCAACTGTTCTACCACTTATTCCACAGGGAAAATATATACATCTTCTTCTAAGAAATTATGTGAAATTATCTGCATAGAAGGTGGAGAAAGTCATTACAATGTTTTGGACAGATTTTTTACTAGTTTATATATCCCATACAAACTACATTTAAATGTCGATTTGGGAAAACAACATCTGCCCAGAACAAGCTGACATTTTTTCCTCTTTTTTCCATTTTAACCAAGCACTGCCTGAGCAATCATTCATTAAGAGTAATAACATTTAATATGGTACTTCTTTTCCCCTAAAGAGTCCCAAAGCTAACTCTGTGTAGTGGGGTCACTCCCACTGTGACCTCAGGTATATGACTCCAAGTGCTTAAATCACACAGCAGTGAAGAACCTTTGATAAGAAATACACAGACTTGATAATTTTAAATAAAAAGATCCTTACATGGAATTAATCTTTTTAAGTCTTTGTTATAACGTAGTCTATAGAAACTCAACACTCCTTAGAGGCAGCTTATCTTGATTTGAACACATCAAGCAGAACTCAAATTAGGATTCTCTGGTGTATCTCTCCTGTGCAGGTAGAAAACACCTTACCTTCCTTATCAAAGAGGAGGAAGCATCTTCAGTCATACCCACGAGAGGACAAGCACAGCTTTCAGACACACGCAGACCTCTTCACCTGTGCTAAATCACTAGCGTAATTTCACAAGAAAGAGCAAATCACTGCAATATTCATGTCACTAAACTGGAGGCTCAGTGTAATATATGACAGATTTTGTTTCTTTGCTGCCTAGATTCTCATCGGAGCAGTGATCGCCATGGGCTCAGCAGACCGAGATGGCCGTCTCCACCCTGGTGATGAGCTGGTGTATGTAGATGGGATTCCAGTGGCCGGCAAAACCCACCGATACGTGATTGATCTTATGCATAACGCCGCCCGAAACGGGCAGGTGAATCTTACTGTGAGGAGAAAGGTGCTACCCACGGGTGAGTGACGGCTGGGAAAGGTGAAGGGAAAAACAGATCCCAGTGCTGGCAGCACAAACTGGTGCTGTTTTAAAATAATAGAGGAAATCAAAGTGAATGTTTGTGTCATTTTGAGGAAAGAATTATTGTGAATATGTGTCCCTTGTTCCTCTGACAAAAACAACTGAGTGTTGTTTCCTTCAGAAGTGGAAACATACTGGCAACCCTGGTGTGGTGATCATAAGTGCTCTGGGTTTGTTCCATGCTGTCTTGGTCTGTGCTCTCTCCTTTTGTCCACTTTTGGAACTAAACATTCACCTAAGTTAAAGCCATTTGAGCTGACTGTGTCAATAAGAGAAAGGCTCAAAGACTGTTAACTGTTTTAGTGCAGAAACTCATTTCACTCTTATATGTGTTAAAAGCCCATTTCTGGTCACACTGATGTCATCTGGAATTCCCCACTGAACTGCAATGCAAGCTGGCTGAAAATCTTCTGTAGGGCACAAGGGCCGGATTCTTCTGTCAAGCAGACATATTCAGAAAATGAACCTAAGCCACTATGAAGTATTTGTAGTAAATTAGATGTTTAGACTAACTCAGTCTCAATTGCCAAAAAACGTCGGAACCTTGAAAAATGCGTGTGGCAGCATCTATTAAAGCTTTAATGGGACAATTTGATGACCTTCTATTACAACCATTGCTTACTTGAGGAGAGAAGTTTATTTAAGAACTTTTAAAATATTTTTGGTGAGTACACTTGTCTGAGGTACCAGAAATGAGCAAAACCACATTCCCAGCCTGTCCTGTCTTCTGCCTGCCCGTGCCCTAGATCCACTGTCACTGCCTGCGCCGTTCCCTTTCGCTCCAAAAAAGCCGCCCTCCCACTCACCTTCGTCTTCGCAGTCCCCCTCCCACTGCGGCACCGCAGCTCCCTGCCAGCCGTGCTCCTGCAGGACTGACTTTCTTCTGTTACTGACTCCAGAGTCCTCCAGCCAGAAAGGTGCCCCCGCGCCTGGTGCGACGCCCCCTCGCAGCTCCCCCAGCGCGAGGAAAATGGCCAATAACCAAGGTAATACCGCCAAGCCCTCGCCGGCAGCTCCGCGACAGCGCCGCACGCACTGCAGGCAAAGCTGGCACAGAGCGGGTGCCAGCCTTCGCTGCTGCTCCTTAAATATTAAACCTCCACTAGCCACTCTGGGCTCCTGGTGCAGACAGTAAGCAAGCTGGTAAAACACCTGAAGTTATTCTTGGGCCTTGAGAGTGCCACACCAGGGAATGTGGCGTGCAGCTCATTAATGTTTAAACATTTCAGGAGCTGAACAGGATTTTATTGTGGTGTGTTACAACATAAGCTTTGTGGAAAAATTTAAAACAACTGGTGTTGGGCGTGACTGAAAAATGCTATGCTAATACATCAGGGCAATTGATTTCATGGGAATTTCTCACTAGCATGAGTGTATACAACAGAGGGATCTGGGTTTTCCTTACCTGTCTGTAGCTGATGTATGTATCTTAACCCTCATCTGGAATTACCATTTTGTACATATACTTACCCAGATCTGGAGCAGAAAATCACAATTCACAAGATCTGGAAAACAATTTGATTAGGAAATGTGATTTTTGGACTGAAATACCATTTTTTTCACAGGCAGGAGCAAAATGTAATTTTTATGAGTATCTATTGCACAGTTGATAGTCAAATAGCCATTTAAGCTTTTCCTCCTTTGCCATTCTTTTCCTATATTTAATGGCATTCAGTTGCATTCTTTCATGGCCGAGCCAGCTCTCGGTCTTTCTGCAGGGTAAGAGAATTTCCTTTCTGTTGCAGCCATACTGACATAAACAATATTCAGCTTTCTGAAACACGACAGCCAGAAAATGAGAACTCTCTTGTCACTGACTATGGCATTTAGTTGCAGATTTGGTTCAATAACTCTTAGAGATTTTCAGGAGTATAATAATTGTTTGTTTTTCTTCCTCTTTATACTCTCTAATTACTTTATTTCATAGTTGCAGAAGGACTGCTAAAGGACATACCTCACTGAGAAAACAACAGTTTGTCCTTGGATGCTGTTTATTTTATTAATATATACAAACAATGAAGCTCTAATTTGCAAACTCTCTACCTAGGATGTATATGTATATGTGGGAGCTCCTCACGTGTTCAGTAAAATTACTCTGCCACTCTTGTTGTTCCAAACAGAAAATATAATACTTACATTTATCTGAAATTTCTGTATTAAAACTGTCAATAAATGCTGATTTGTATAAACAATTTAGATCTGCAAAGAATATAAATCTTTTTTTTTCCCATCTGGAAGTGTAAATTTACTGTTTTCAATTGCCATAATGCTCACACTATAAAATGCATAATCCCACGAGTTTTAACTTTTTTCCTGTTCTTGTTACTTGTTACTGTAAAGCAATACTAAAGTGTTCATGGACTCCATTTTCACTTCTGGCCTTTTGAACTTGCAAAACAAGAGCATCTGCAAACCTTTAAATGACCACTGCTTCTGCCATGACACCCACAGAAAAACTACTTGTGATGATTTTTCATTGCATAACAGCTCTGCTCTTTGAACATTTTTCGAACAAGCTAATCAACTTGTAAGAAGAACATTATGCAGCTAATCCTAATTACTCTGTTAGCTCCCTGCTTAAATTCTTGTAATCCAAACACAAATAATTTTTTATTGGATTAGTCTGTCACATTTTCCTCTTGATGACAGATCTACCAGCAGACAAGGGAATAGCGCTTGGTAATGTTTTTGCAATCCAGATAGACACTCTTTCTTACTTTCCTCTCTTGTAGCTAGTGTAGCAGTCAGTGTTCATGCTTGCTTTATCTGATTGCCCTTGAATGTTCTGCATAATTGTGTAGATTCCTGTCTCTCTGCATCTATTACAGCTCCTAGTTTAACCCTTGGGGTAGTCTGGTCTGTAGACCGTCAGCTGTATTCACGTTGCATTAGCAAATGTACTGTAAGTCACAGAGCCACTCAGCAAGTCAGACTGTGACACTGGTGTGATTTATGTTGTAGGAGAACCCTGCCCAGAGAATGGCAGAAGCCCAGGCTCGGTGTCTACGCACCACAGCTCTCCGAGAAGCGACTACACCACTTATGCCAACAGCAATCACGCGGTCTCCAGCAGCACCGCCACTCCCCCCGAGGGCTTCGCGTCGCACAGCCTGCAGACCAGCGACGTGGTCATCCATCGCAAGGAGAACGAGGGCTTCGGCTTCGTCATCATCAGCTCCCTCAACAGGCCCGAGTCTGGGTCCACAATAAGTAAGTAAATCACGTTAATCACGTTTTTCAGTTCATACTTCTTAAGTTTGTCCCAAATTTAATAAATAAATAAATAAATAAAACATGCCAATGGTTAATTTAAACCTATCTGGTAATAATTTATCACAGCAGAGATTTAAACTGAAGATACTCTCAATGTTTATTGAGAGGCACTGCTTGTTTTTTCTTCAACAAAACCAAAGTTTATTCCGGCCTCTGGAGCCCTGTGCTTCCCACACTTCTTTGACTATCAGAGTAATAGAGGATTCACTCACAAACTAGATTTTCTCTGTTACTATGTCTCAAAGAGACACTGTAAGTAACAAGTAGGGTTATGTGAATAAATTATTCTCCTACATGCAACTGAATTAGGCTTTTTTTAATAAATCAAGATGAAGTTCAGCAAGTTGAAAAAAAGCTTAGATCACAGCAAAGCCTATGACAACAGCTGTCCAATTATGGGACTGCAGAAGGAAGTGGAAGTTGGGAGAACTTGTTAGATGCAGGTGCGGAGAGGCTGATTTAACTGGGTGGAGTATAGACAGCATTGAAATTACAGCTGACTACAGGGGATAGGTGTATCTCTCTGTACTCAGTAGTACTCAGGTTTACAAGATCTGCCCTTAATAATTATAGCTCCCTTTCTGTTCAGAGAACTAATTTTCTCTGTGGGTCAATCTTATTGCTTTCATATAGACATCTGGTGCCACTTGAGCTGTCCTGGGTACATCTAGGGAGAGGTCAGACAGGTGTGACATAGGACCTACAGAAGACTCAAACCCAGCTAGTGGCATCTGGAGGCACAGGGGCACCTTTGGTTCTTTCCGATGACATTTAACCCAATGAGAGCTGAGCCCTCTGGAAGAAGGAAGCAAAAAAGGCTTTATATTGAGAGCCATCCACACACCCCACCAAATAATGTTAACCACATAAACACTGGCTGAAAAACCAAAAGTGAGAAGATTTATCATTTTGCAAGTTGAAGCCTAATACAGTGCTTTCCCTACACTAAAATATGTTTTGAAGGAACTGTTCTTTGTGCCTGAAACTTGTTCCTGACAAAATCACAATTTCAACTTCAAGGCCAGATATCACTCTTCTAAATTCATACCTGAAAAGCATCTAAGAGAGTACTGGGAAAACCTTATCTCACAATAGCAAATTACCTCAGAAAATTTTTTTGCAGTATTTCATGATCATGCAGTTATTAAAAGAGTTACTTTTCATGCTACCTCAGCTGAATTTTAAAACTCCATGATTGCTGGAATTAATATTGTAACAAAACCATAGCTAATTAACCTCATGGGACTCTTGAGTTTTCACATTACTGAATAAAATAGCCAAAGAACAGGAAGTTCTTTGCAGAAGATCAGAAAAGAAAAAATAATCAGTTGTGGTACATACATGTTAATCAGTTAAGTCAGTCATGTTTTTTTCAAGAAAATTATTTTATAGAGAGAATTTGTGGTTGGGGCAGATGGAGAGGGAAAGGGGAGAGGAAGAGAAAATTCTCAAGCAACCAAAAATTCTGTGACTGGAATAGTCTCTTCAAGACTACAGACCCAGGTTCAAGATCCTGCTCTGCCTCCTACCCTCCAACATGTTCTTTCAGTACTTTTCTTTCCCCACAAGCAACTGTGTAAGTAGTCATTTTGATGCTCAGTTGAACACCTCCAATAGTAAAGGGAAATGACAGCCTGCTGTGGAAGTGACAAGAGAATTTAATCAAGTAATAACTGCATTGGATTTCAGTGATCCCCAAATGTACCAAATCCTAAGTTTACAAGAACAGTGAACAAAAAATTACATTTCCTGTACACGGTGACAGAAAAGAGAAGAAAATTCCCTTTCTATATTAATTCTGTTACAAAACTGTAGTAGAAAAAAAACCCTGAAAATTCCATCATCCATCATCGGTAATGAAAACAATCTAAAAATTATTGACTCTTTCTAGAGTAAGAGAGGTTATTTTATTTACTTAATATTTACTTGGGTGAAGTAATTTAAACTTTATTAACAGGAGCATAGCCAGTAGATTAAGGGAAATTATTGCCCCCTTTCACTCAACACTCACTGGCATCCATTCAGAATACAGCATCTAAGTTTTGGGCCTTTTGGTAGAACAGGGAAACTCTCCTGAAATACCTTTTATCTTGAAATAACACACAATCCTTTTATTAAAATGCACAATCAGGGGTAGAAAGCACACCAACAGTAGCAAAACATCACATAGATATAGGAAGTGCAATGTCCAAAATATATGTTAATCACAATCAAAATGTGGACCTGCATGGCACCATGCTAGGTACTCCTGATGGCTGCAATCTCTTAGTTGGGTGAAATATTGTGCTCTGGTTCCAGTGTCCCTTGTTTCAGAAGCAGTGCACTCGTTGCCAGCTCCTGTATCCCCACATGGAACAGAATGATGTTATGCAGACATGCATGCACAAAGTTAATGTTGTAACCGCAAAGCAATTCTGCAAAATTTGAAATGGGCAAAATAGGTCAAAAAAGGGAGCATCATGTAGTGCTAGACACTGTTAGGAGGAGCAGCACCCAGGAAGTTGTCTCATTGGGAGCATCCTCAGGGAAAAGTGAGGAATTCCTTTGATTTAAGAATATTTATTTCTATAACTCTAATCCCTCCTCTACTTTCTTGCAAAAGCAAAAGACTTGAGGTCTTGGAAGAATAAGTATCATCACCACTATTACTCAGGAAGGCAATTAATTATGTAGTGAAAGTATATTCCTTGTTGTTGAAATCACACTTACAAATTGTATTTTACAGTCTAACAGATTACAACAGCTCCTGCGGAGTACAGGAGCAAGCACTTTGTGTCACCAGGTGCATGTGCTTCAAGCACTGCTAAAACTGAAGCAGTCATTCCAGCAAGGCTGCTCCTGGCTACAGAGCTGCAGGCTCATTAGTTTGCTGCTTTGCAGTTGGCCTGAAGCTGAAGGGGTTGCACAAAAGCTGTCCTGTTTGCCAGGAGAGTTTGCTCTGTCTGTGCAGCTGCAGGACCATCCCATGAAGTCACAGTAGCAGTGCTCCAGCTGAGTCTCAAATCCCTTTTCCACCCTCTGGTGGGGTGTGCGCTGCACTGCTCCCACACAGCCTCTTAGGATTGCTTCATGCTCCTTCTGAGAATGAGCCATGAAAGGCTCAGCAGCTCCCAGAACAAGACATGAAACTCTTTTTCCAAGAGGTTTAGGGTCCTGGTCAGCTTTTCTCTCGGTATGGTTTGCAAGGGGTTTGTTCTTTCACTTGGTTTATGGGCCTGCCTTTGCCATGCAGAAATTTTCAAAATACTAAATGCTGGTTTTTTACTATTGATAGACACAGAGTGAGGGCAGACTACAGCCATAATTAGGAAGCACACTATTTTTTCACATTTTGTGATGGGCAGCACTGAAATAGCTGTCAGTTTGATAAATTAACATTAAATACTTTGGAGTCAGCCTTTAGATATGAATGTCATTTTTCCTTACTGGTACTTGCTTAAACATCCAGTTCTTGTGGCACACTTATTTTCTTGTGTCTATAATGGTAGAAATTTTTTTCCCCTGTGTCAAAGCATTGCTTGTGATGTTCTCTAATCCAGCACAGGGGATTATTTTGCACTGAACTATGGTTCTGATGCGGGGAGATCAGGAGTGGAAAACGAATGACAAGGATTGAATGAAGAGATTTTACAGGGCAAAGCAGGGGCATGGAAAAGGTCAGCCATGCTTCAAAACTGTACCAGTAAAAGGAGATAAAGTGGATAAATAAAGAGCTGTTCTTGAGTGGTATATCCAGGAGCAAGTCATTTTGCCTAGTGCAGCATGCAGAGGATCTTGGAGTGCTAAGAGATTAAGAAAAGAAAAACACCTGTCCAGGCTCCTGACCTATTTCTAACGAAAGGATTAACTTCCACTGCCTCTAAAATATACTATTGTGCCTTCCCCCAGATCCTGTTCTAACATTAAAGAGGAAGGTGGCTCTCATCCCTTCTCCACACATGAGAAATTACAGCTGAAATACTTAAATTTAAGTAATTAATCTACACTTTGCATTACATTTAGGGAAGTATTTTTAGGGTATCAAGATAATTTCACTATCTGCAGCCTATGGAAAAGCACTTGCAGTCTTCTGGAGGTGGCCAGAATGAGATTCCTGTCCCAGAGTTTTATGGAGCAAACTTGTCCCTGCCTACTTTATATCTTCCTGCTACTTTTACTTTTTGTTTTTGGGATGCAGCTTCATCTAGAATAAGTACTTGTGATCCCCTGTAAATCTCTTACATTGTAATTTTTTTTAAGAGAGAAATCATGTGTTGTAAAGAGACCTTGTTAACTTGCAATTTCCAATTAAGTTGGAAAATTGGCAATATTTCCAGGAATTTTACTGTAGCAGGTACTGTCAATTAGCACAGTTATAAAGAGTAAACAAACTGAAAATACAGGCCTAATCAATAAAAAAAATCAAAAAATTAAAGGCTGTGCATACTTGTTATGATCTTCCTTCTGCTTTGCAAAAGAGGGCTTGTAGATTTAATTTGCCCCTACACGGCATGTGCCAGTGGCTGCTGGGTTTTGAAAACAGGATAAAACAGAGTCTAATGAAAGAAGTTTATTTCATTTCTCAAAACATACAGTCTTAAGTAAAAAACATAAATCCAAGATAAGCCTCTGCTGACTGCAGAAAACAGCATTCTGAGTAAGTCCCATTCAGCCCAGAGTTTCTTTAAACTCCTTACCGTTTAGAGATAAAAACCAGTTTATCGATCAGTGATAGCTGTGTGATCTCAGTGTTGGTGCAGCAATTTCACCTGTGCTTTTTCTGGGTAAGATGGTGGTTTGGGACATAATTTTATGTGACCAATCTTCAGATTCTAAAGGATGCAGAGCTTTGGAAATTAGGATGTCTGTCTACCCCACCTAGGACATTTTTGGAGCATAGCAGTGAAAACCCACCCACAGTGTGTGTCCCCCATGGAAGAGATCTGCAGTTTGTGGGC